TCTGCATACTGTAATATTCATCTGTAGGTATCTATGATTCTATGAGTAGACTTTTCTTGCAACTAGGTATTAAGTTGTATTTAAAAAAGCATAAGTGAATGTTTATTTTCAATTTGATATTATGATTAAGAAAGTAATGATACTCTAGTAGCAGAAGGTGGATTTGAAAGGGTGAAGGATTATTCAAAATATGAAGTTGGTTTTTGGTGTAGGCTGATACAAACTTAGTTTATCCGTGGTGGATTGACAGTAATTATAAAATGTTTCATTTACCTTTGGCACTGAATACAGATGATTACTCGAATTTTTACACTGTCCACACATTTATTACTACTGAAAAATGTATCCAAACTAAAATAACTGAGAACTAACGAACGAAAACTATAATAAAAAATGTAATGTAAAGATTGGGATGACAAAAAATATCAATTTCAAAATACCAAAAGTTGAAAATTCTTTTTGACAATGACAGATAATAATTAATTTGACTGACTCAGCGGGGACTCGAACAGTTCAGAATAGCGCCATCTTGGGAAAACTCTCGTAAGTGTTGTTAAAAGCAACAGGTGGTTCCTTCAAAAAGTTCAAAACAAAATCTAAGCGTTACCAACACCAGGGTTTCTAGGAATCTTAGACACAGAATAGAATAGAAGTCGGATGTCGGTAATGTCATGTTCATGTCATGTATGTCATCCGATGTCATATCGGATGGTGAATAACAGAATTAGCGATTTCCTTTGGTAAAAATAATGCCTTCATCTCACTCTGTCACTACACTAGTTCTGTCAAACTTCAATGAATGAAATGCTGAAATTTGCTCAGAGGAAATTTGAATCTCTTCATTATTTTTTTATATAGTTTTCCATAAAACATTTTACATGGGAAAGGGGTCCAAGTGATTACACCAGGGATATTCTATGCTGAATATCGAGTCGTGATTTTGAAAGCTTTGAATTACGGTCGGCAAGGTTCATCAGGTTTACTAGAGGTTATAGCTCTCGCGATAGATTTTTGAATGGTAAATATTTTGTCTACATGAGTTTCTGATGCTGTACTCTGTACTCCAGATTAGAATCCCACATTTGAAAATTATGTTATTGTGATCTCTGTCTTTTACACATCTACGGTAAGCCATGTATAATATTCTGACTACAAAATTTATATCCGATATACATTCGTGCTAATGTGAATCGTTGAGTTTTGTACGATGGAACGATCACGACTATGACGTCAAATGATGGGGGGATGAGAATCCAGCTTTTAACGGAAACTCCACGGACCTCCTCCGTTCCTAAATACAGACTTTATCCGTTAAAATCCTTTTGCGTAAGGGTTAGAGACAACAACTGTAGTTATTTTATTTCGCACATTAGTACATCCAACGCCACAGACTGCAGCGTATTACAGCACA